GCCCCCCGCCAGCTTGCCCCCCACCAGCTTGCCTCAGCTCTGTCTCCACCTTCCCCCTCGAGGAGGGAGGGGGTGAGCATGTAGGGGCCCCCCCCTCCCCCACCAGAGGGACATGCCAGGGGGCCAGGTGAGTCCCAGCAGTGCTAGCCTTACCTGGAGTGGCTCCCAGGGAGCATCCAGCAGGCAGGTCCTGTCCCTCTGGCTCCTAAGGTTGCTTGGGGCGGGGACAGGGGCGGGGGGCTCGCTGCCGGCGCCTACAAGCCCCCCACCCCTGCAGCACACAGTGGGGAGACCTCCTCGCCGTCTCTGTGCATGCTTGGGGAATGGGGCTGCAGCACTCTGCAGGCTCCTGCTGGCCGGCGGGCAGGCAGGCGCTGGGAGTTCAGCTGAGCTGCCTCAGGGCCCAGGAAGAAGAGGTGAGCGGCGCCAGCAGTGCCGGTTTGCGTCTTCCACCAGACGGTCCCCTGATATCGGGACAAAGTGCGTCCCAACCAGTGTAAGGTCGGGACGTGGGACAAGTCCCCTAAAATCGGGACTGTCCCGATAAAATCGGGACGTCTGGTCACCCTAGGGGGCAGAGAGTTGTGAAGCCGATGGTCTCTTCTCTCTCTGGGTGGTGGATGCAGACTGTGCCACTCTAATGAAAATTGTAGCTAACCATTCCAAACAGAGTTGATTCACACAGGGCTACTGGCATTGACTCTAAAAAGAGTTGCTTACCTGCCCTTAACACCCGTCGCTGCTAAGAAATAAAGTAAAACAGTATACTTTGAGGGTAAGCTATTGTAACAATAGAAATAGTACCAGTCTTACAAGTGCAGCAAACTTCATGTCAAGCAAACTTGGCACATGGGCTGCATCTCCAGTTCAGAGTGCATTAAAACAGAAACAGCAGAAAAATCTCTTACAGAGTATATATGGAATTTTGGAGATAAGTGTAGCTTTTAATATAGAGGTTGTTTTGTACATAATGTGCATCTAAGTGAATATTCACAGTCCCTTTCACCAACGCACCTTTTTTCTAAAACAGGTATTACGCATAATTTTCTAGTATGAAGTCAGTTGCTTTCAATTGTAAAAGTGTTGTCAAGTACTGTTTCGTATGTTCTGGAAGTAATGTCTGCATACAGCAATTACTGGCCTTTGACAAACATGGGGTTTTCTGTTGTTTGTGTTCAGAAATAAGCATATTAGTTTTGAACACAGAACTTTTCACTTTTGTACACTTGTATGTTACTGCATCTAAGAGATGAGCATTTTCTTTGGGAGGCAATTAATGATGTGTGCGTTTTTGTTTTTTAAGGCAGAATTAAAAGCTTAAAAGTCCATTTCAACTTAAACCTTTTTCAAAACTTGCATTGGGCTGCAGTCAAAATCCTGATATTTGTAGTTCTTTGTTACTGCTTTTTTTTTAAAAAAGTTAAATTTAAAATGTTGAACCACTGGACTTTCTTGTAATGTATTAATTTGTGAAACTAATTTTTTAAACTGTGTGCTGTCTTGTCCACATGTGCAACCTACCATTGTGTAAAACAATAAAAGAAATGAATGCTGTGATCCTAGTCATAATTATTTGTCTATTTGCAGAATCTGGTCCTGTCACCTTAGTTCTCTTGTATGTCATATTTTTAAAAAAACTGCTGCAAAATCATGTTGATTTATTTTGGATAATGTAGACTTGCTCTTATTAAAAATTGAGTTTTGATCTCTGAATTAAAATCTTAGGACTCTAGTCCATAATCCTTTATCTTCTCCCATATTATGTGAACCCAGATGATACCATACTGCAGCACAATGTGTGCTCTTGCCTTCTTATGAATGGGGGCTTTGCACTGTAAATTTAATTTCAAAACAAAGTGTTAATTTGCATTGGGTACTATAGTCCATTGTCAGCAATAGTTTTGAAAGCTATAGAATTTTGGACTGCACTATGCAAATAAGCTGCAGCACTGGCTAATTCGACAAATGCCATTAAGACATCACGCAATAAGCAGCTGTGCCTAAGTGTCTCTTTTAAAATGAAATAGTTTGAACATTTGGTCTAATCAATTTTTCTTTTAAAATAAGAAACCTACCAGAGGAAAGGAAAGTATACAACGTTAACAACTGATTGAGCTCTCTATTTATATAGGGCCTGATTTGCATGTATCTTAAGGCCCCTTTACACCCATTTGCACTACCAGAGACCACCATTTTGTCCATGTAACTCTCACTACAGAATAGCTAACTGCCAGAGAGTAATAGAGCTACCACTAGACTGGCCATTTCCTTAGTGTCCTTGCAGTCCTTCCATACTCCTCAGTTTCTATCTCTTCCCTGTCCAGCTGGGGTCCCGCAGCATGTGTGCCAAACTCTCCTGTTGTTCACTTGTGCTCCTGCCAAGCTGGCTTTTTCAGCCCCACCAGTTTTTGTGCTCCCTTGGAAATTGGGGTAGAGGAGGTGGGAGGGAGGTAGCTCTGCACATCTTCCTTCTCACAGGGCCCTCTAGAACCTAGGGCCAGCCCTTTACATATACATGTAAGTCAAATATTTGTTAAAGTACTAAAGTTGTATTTTGAAACTAAATTACTTCCATATTACATTTTTAAAATGTGGTTAAGGTTACGATTATTTTAGCTTTGCTTTTTTATGCTTTTGTCATCAGGGACAACTCTTGTACGGTTCATTTATCCCCAACCTTTCATCATACTGTATCAATATAAATAATCCAGCATCAGTAATGCCAGCTCTCCTATGATTAGTTCTAATATCTCTATAGTGAATGGCCAAATAGGAGCTTTGGGAGAAGCAGCTTCTAGGTTTTAACCTAGGAATTAAAGGCATTTACCTCCCCAGTGTATTTCTGCCTGTATTTGTAGAGTGGGAATCAGCATGACTTAGACCATGCATTGTATGCAGAGCCCCAACATAGCATAAGAGTCAGCCTAGTCTCCCTCTTCCAAAGCGCCTCTTCAAATTTAAAAGAACAAAGATTTCACCATATGGGATCAGATTATTTGTCCATCCTGTCTAGTACCTGCTTCCAGCACAAAAGAATGGTGCTGCTGTTAATAAAATTATTCACCTTTTTCAAAAATTCAGCTTGGGATCACTAATTATGAGCTTGGGGCTGAATAAATGCTGTTTAGATGTTTAAATTTTCCTTATAGCACACAGGAGGTTCTTTGTCATCCAAAATCAAACTAATATGCAAGGTAAGTTTCAGTACTACTACATTAAGCACAAAATAAGGATTTTAGAAATTTTATCTTTAATGTAGGCTACAGAATGTATTTTTTGTTGTTGTTGTGAAAAAAAGTTAATCACATAGTTGGGGAACACAAAGTAAGTAATAGATATCCTTGTTCTGGGACCATTTTTTCTGTGAAGATCTTTCGTCTTAGCATCTCCCTTCAAGGTTTGCAGCAATTTTGCAATACAATACTTCTTTCGCCAGGTGGCAGGAGACTACTATTTTTCAGTTTGCCAAAGATGTCATTATAAAGCCCTGTATGGCATTATTGCTGCCACATAGTACACTAGCTTTTGTTTCCAGATCGTTTACACAAATAGTTTCTTTGATACAATGGAATTTTGAAAATTTCTACCAGTCACAGAGGGTCGGATCAAGCTGTCCCATGTGAATCCAGTACTTGGGTGCCTTTTACTGAGAGCCCTCCCACCTACCTCTAGGAGTTCAACCCTTTTAGCCAATCACAATTACCATAAAAGGGGGCACAGAGAGAAACCGTTTGGATGTACAATTTAGATACCGAAGATAATCTATCCGAGAGCCTCTAGTGATTAACAAGCACAATTCCCACTGACTTTCAGTTGAACTTATGCTCCTATGTCACTTAGGTTTTTTTGAAAATTCTGCCTCTATCTGCCATTTGGAGGTAGTTTTAATCATTTTCCAAAGATCAAAACAAGGTGGGTATGTTTTTTCTGGGCTGGCTGTTATGATTTGTAGATGCCTGTTGGGCTCAAAGA